AGGTAACCTTTCCCAGGGAAACTACAGTATAATAGACTGGTAGTAGGTTCATTCTTTGTCAGTGAGGGGCAAGAGTAATCGGGGATGGGAGATGGTGGAGGAGGGGAGGGAGGGAAGGGGAGAGGAATGACTGAGGAAGCTGAAACAGAAAAGCTTTTATTACTCACTGGATCTGTGCCACAGACACCAATTACATAAATTTGACAGTGCCATTATAATCCCTGAGCCCTTGAACAAATCACAACCCAAAAGGCTACCCTCCCGAAAATGTTCACCCCATTAAAACCACTGACCCAGAAAGGAGGAGTACCTCAAGGGCGTAGGCAGAATCTTTGAGGAGAATGTTAGGGGAGGGTTTGTTGGCAGCCATACCTGCGCTGGAATGTGTACACCTGTGAGATGCCTGGAACCCAGAGAGAAACTTGGCTTAATTCTTCTCTTTTCTTGAAACAGCATTAGTAGGAGGGAAGGGGTTTTAAGGTAGCACTGTAATCACTTTAAATTTCTGCACACCCCTAGTTTAAATTCACCCAGATATTTCTCTTTATAGATCTGATGGCACAGCCAGGTGAGGGGAAGGTACCTCTCACAGCAAATATCCAGGAACAAGGGAAAGGTCCCTTCATTTCAGTAGATGGACTTTGATTGGTTGACTCTCCCTTGATCAGGTTTTCAGAATAGAGGGCAGATTTAGGTTTGTAAAAGAAAAAGAAATATTTGGTTTCCTGTGTTGAAGTGGTCACCCCAGGCATGTCTTGACTCATCAGACCAAGACAGTCACTTCTATTTCAAGAAAGAATTGGCTTAAACCTACAGGTATATGTAAGGGGAAAAGACCATTGAAAGGTATTTTAAATGCTGGCCCATTGGCCCTTGGATTTGAGGAGATTTGGCATTTCATGGTTCTTTTCAGCATAATCATCTAAAAACCCTGATTTGATTTAGTCTTTGAGGTATGAAGAGGGATAATTTGTACTTCTGAGGCCTCTTTGGTCTCCATGAGTCATTCCTTCTCCCTCTCTCCTTCCAATCCCTAAACTTCCTCTAAGTATCCCTTTAAGCAGACCTTTTTGAAAAGGGTGGTAGATAGCCTGATGAAGCACAGATTTACAAAAATGAAACTGGAGTGAGCTACACATACATCAATAGCCTGAAATGCCCCGCCCCCTACTCCTCTCCACCTATCCAAATTCTACCTACCTTTCAAGTCCAAACTCAAGTCCCATCAATGCCAAGAATCCTTCTACTGCTATTCCAGAGTATAATGATGTCTCCCAATTCTGCACTAAAGCACTTAATTAATTATCATATTACAGGTTCAGTGAATTTAGAATTGGAACAATCTTTGGAGATCATCTAATCCAACCTCCTCACTTTACGAGAGAGTTCAGTGAGGCCTAGAGGGGCAACCTGTATGACCTTGGGCAGATCACATACCAAGCAGCAGAACACTTGACCTAAACTCCCTTATGACCATAAGGTCATAGGATAATAATAGCTCTGGAGCTGAAGTTGGAAGGGCCCTCAGAAGGGCCAATCAGACCAACATTTCCTTTCCCCATTTTACAGATGAGGAAACTGAAATACAGAGAAGTCACACAGCTAGTAAGCAGAAAGGGAGCCCAAGTCCTCTGACTTTCGTAAGAGCCAGTTGTCCTCTGATTCTAGACCTAAGTAGAATGGGGCGATGGAAAGAAAATTGGACTTTGAAGGCCGAGGACCCAGTTTGAATCCTAGCTCTGCCATATACTATCTGCATGACCTTGACCAAGTCACAAGCTATTTGAACCTCAGTTTTCTCATTTTCAGAATGAGGGTATTAGATTAGAAGACCTCTGAGAGCCATTCCAGATTTAAACCTATGGTATTGTAAACCAATTGTCTGTTCTACTGCACCACGCATATCCTGCTCCTGTGGGGCAGATGTTGTCATCTAGGCATTAATATTAGTTCTGGGCATCATGACTCTTCCCTCTTACATCCACCATAGTTCCTAGTACAGGTGCAGGCAGACAAAGCTCCAAAATGCTTTATTGATTCAAATAAGTATCATTCCTGGGAAAAACAGGACTAAGTCTTTCAAGGACTGTGTAGGTTATGAATCAGGAAACTCTCTCTGTCCCCTAAAATTAAATATTCTTATTTAGCTACAAATGATGGGGAGAACCTAGAATCACATGGAGACTTGGGGTTGGGAGGCAGTCCAACAAATACTTGAGGAAGAATCTGTTCCTGACAAGTGGTCATCATCCAGTCTCCATTTAAAGACCACTGTGTCAGGGAACTCATCACACCAGAGGCAGCCCATTCCACTTCTGGATAGTTCTAATTGTCAAGACATTTTTCCCTAGATCAAGTCAAAATCTCCCTAACTGCAATTTCCGTCAATGGCTCCTTGTTCGGTCCTCTGAGACCAAGCGGGACAATCTAATTCCTCTTCCCTATGATGAGCCTTCAAATACCTAAAGACAGCTATCATGTCTTTCCTGAGTCTTCCCTTCTTTATGCTGAATGTCTCCAGTTCCTTTGATTTATCCTTGTATGTCATGGTTTCCAAACACTTCACTGGTCTGGTCACTGTCCTCCCAAGATGTGCTGGCAAATGTTTAGCAACTAGGTCTCCCCCCCAAAATTGTACCTGACAGATGATTGATTTGCATTATTAATTTTTTTTCTGTCACTTTCTTCAGCCTAGCCATCAACAAACAGTCAATCAAACCCTGATTTGTAGCATCCAAATTCTGAGCTCAGTGACCTGACCAGGTGAACAAGGATTTCTGTTCATGCAGATCTGAGTCCAAGACCATATTGTTGTGCCATACTGAGTTTGCACTGCACTGAAACCTTCACGTCTTTTCCATACAAACTGTGGTGTAGCCATACCTTGCCTACTCCGTACTCATTTGGGTCAAAACAACAACAACAACTTAGGTGTAAAACTACTTTTATCCCTATACTTGCAGCATACCTACCTCTTTTCCACTGCCCTATGGCTCCAATACTATCCCTGTCATTTCTTAGACCAAAACATAGCATCATTGGCTTAGAGCTAAAATTTGAAGGTCATTAAGTCTAACACCAGGGCAGCTAGTAGAATACCAGGCCTGGAGTCTGGAAGACTGAGTTCAAATCTAGCCTCAGACACTAGCTGTGTGACAAAGGACAAGTCACTTCACCCTGTTTGCCTCAGTTTCCTCATCTGTAAAATGAGCTGGAGAAGGAAATTGCAAACCACTCAAGTATCTCTTTCAAGAAAACCCCAAATGGGGTCATGAAGAGTTGGGCACAACTGAAATAACTGAACGAGAAGTCCAACCCCTCATCTTTACAGATGAGGAAACTGAGGTCTAGAGAGGTTAAGTTACCTGCCCAGCCCCTCACAGCTAGAGTTTGAGGCAGGTTTTGAATTCATCACTCATTAACTCTAACTCTTCCTCTTTCCCTGTCATACTGCTAACTCCCTCTAGCCAGCTTTCTTCTACATGGATTGTCTTCCTGTCATACTGGATCAGGAGTTAATAAGACCTGAGTCTAAATCAGGCCTCAGACACTTACTTACACTGGTGCGATCCTGGGCAAATTGCTTAAACTTTTTGCCTCAGTTTCCTCAACTGAAAAATGGGGATAATAATTGCACATATCTCCTAGAATTGTGAGAATAAAATGAGAATCTTGGTAAAGCGAATTGCAAACATTAAAGCCCTGCATAAATGCCAGCTATCATTAGAATGTAGGTAGGCTCCTAGAGCCCAGGAGCTGTCCTGATTTTTTTGTTTCCCCAGCCTGATGCCTAATAAGTGCTTAGTAGATGCTTTTCATTTATTCATTCTGGAGTCTTGTTCTCATCTGCTAAGAAATAGTATCTATCTATAGTGCTCCTAGGTTGATGCCATTGACAAATCTGAGGAATGAGGGTGCTCTACTTTCTTCTTAATCTGCCCAAACCCTCCCAATGTTCAACCAAGGTTTTTCAAGACTGTTACGATATACTTTTGTTTGACAATTTATCCCTATTTCGAGGTCTGTGCTATCATTTCCTTACACCTGCTTTGAGGGTAAGAAGAGTTGGAGATTAGGGTAAAGCTAGGAGAGGATTCCAGCTAAACTCCCAATAGCTTGATTAGTACATAGCCCAAGGGAGTTTGGTCACAGGCCTCCACACTTGGTGAATGTTAAGTGACAAGCCAACTCGCTTCTTTCGGGTGGGTTAATCCATATCCGCCTTCAATACAGGGGACAAATGTCAGCAGAAAGAAAAATAACAGTATTAAAGACCCACACATATAGCCTATGCGATATTAAATCGTAGCGTTAAGTTCTCGTCATTGAAGGCTCTGGGAGGCGGAAGGACCTGTACTTTTGAATGAGACAGAAGCTAACTGCTCCCAAATTTAGATATGAAGATTTGAAGCATCGCCCCCAGCCCCAAGTCTGGTTTCCTACACGCCCTCAATCTTTCCCAGAGGCAGGGGCGGAGGCTGTAATTCATCTTTACCCTCCCCCGCAGCAGGTCAGAGGCCCGCTCCAGTCAAGTCCAGAGCTTTCCCGGTTTCTCCAGGTTTTGGATCGCGTCCCCATCTCCCTTGCCCCCCACCTCCCGGGTCTGGTCTGCCCCTGAGTCCTCAAAAGTTTCAGGCTTCCGGGATTTCTGGGAACTTTGCTTTCTCTCGCGGGCAGATGCACGGAGGACGTTCCTCTCACCCGGTAGTTTCTTCACCCCACACTCCAGTCTCCTCTTCCCTTCAGTGTAACTTGACCCTCTCTTCTTATAGAAGGGGAGGAAGAAGAGAATGGGGAAGAGGCAGAGAGGATGACAGAGACAGACAGACACAGAGACCGAGACCAAAATAAAGAGACAAACTCAGAAATAACTTCCTAGATCCTGGGGGTTGCGAGGAGGGATTCTGGGGCTCGATCCAGACTTTCCACCCTCCGAGCCACTGCCTGGGGGAACTACCACCAAGCCCCGGTGCCCCCAGTCGGGTCTCGGGGTTTCCTACCTCGAGCACTCATGCTTCGCGCTTCACAGGAGGTGCAGGTCCTGGTCAGTTGCGCTCCTCCTACATGCCCGAGCGCTGGCTGCTCCGTCAGGCCCAGACCTCCTAGAAGACCCCCCTCTCCCTCCTACTGTCGGAGACGGGGGAGGCGAGAGGGCTAGGCTGGGCCACCTAGTGAAATTCAGTGGTGATGGGAGAGGCTGGGGTGGGGTGGGGGGGTTTCTGGGACTAAGCGCTGCTCCCAGGGCTCCGGGGAGAGAGATGGGGGATGGAGAAGGAAAGAGGTAGGGGGCTTACGCGAAGGCCCTGAGGAATGAGCTTGGAGCAAATAAAGGAGGGGGGGGAAGATTAAAAAAGAAGAGAGAAAGTGTGTCATAGGCTGGGAGGGGCGGGGGAGGGAAATGCAAAACCCAGACAGGAAATGAGACTAAAAAAAATGCAAAAGGTTAGAAAAAAAAAGATTAAGAAAGGGGAGAAAAAAGTTGTTAAGGTCTGAAGGAGAGTTTGTGAGGGACTTAGATTGAACCAGAATTACTCTGGAAAAAGAGGGAAGTGAGACGTGAGGAAAGAGAAAGATGGTGGTGGGGGGATGGAGGTTGGGGAGGGAGGAGGAGGAGAAGGACTTGGCTCCTTGGGACCTCTCTGGAAGCTTTAGGCTGTCTGTTTGTCTTGGTTTAAGAAAGTTGGGCTGTCCTACCTGCTGCTGTAGGCCTGCGAATGGACATGGATTTGAGTTGTGCAGAGCCCCAAAGAAAGAGTACATTTCTATCCTCTTCGTCTCTTCAGAAGCAGAACTTGGTAGCCCCAAAATAAGGACTATCGTTTCCTCCAGGAGTTTAAGTCACTTCTGAAGAAGTTTGTCGTGCACTTTTCCGTCAAAGTCATTTGAGAAAATAAAACACAAGACTTTCCCAAGGAAAGATGAGAAACAAATAGGGCTACATTTTTGAACGTCCAATATCTTCTATCTTCCTTTTCTCCATCAGCCTCTTTAGATATGACTTGCAATCACTTTCAATATTTTTTGCCTTCAGCACTTTTAATTCTGACAGAAGAGGCCTGTATCCGCTGACCTGCTAACCACTGCCCAAAGTATTCTCTCTGTTGGAGCTCTCTTCCTTCAAAATTCAGCTCAAGCACCGCATTCTGCAGGAAGCCTTTCATGACTCGCCCCTCAACTATTAGCTCCCTCCTTCTAAAATCAGCTTGCATTTAACTAGTTTGTATTTATTTTTGTTTTTTTATCTTTAAGACATTCTCTAAATACTTGTATACTTGTTGTCTACTCCATTAAAATGTTAACTCCTTGAGAGAAGGAATTTTTTTCATTCTTTGCATTTATATCTATCCATTTATCATCTATCTGCCTTTCTGTTGATCAATATGTCTATTCATCCGTCCATCTATCTATCCATCCACTTATCAATCTATCTACCTAATTCCCCAGCACTTAGCACAGTGGTTGGCATTTAGTAGTTGCTTAATAAATTCTTAATTGATGAAAAAACTTGTTGGTTGCATACAATTTTTGCATATATTTATATGTCTGTACAATATATAGTTTTCATAATTTCTCTTGAAATAAGCTTGCTTAGATTCCCATTTTTCTTCCTTCCTTCCTTTCTTTTTCTTTCTTTCTTTCTTTCCTTCCTTCTTTCCTTCCTTCCTTCCTTCTTTCTTTCTTTCTTTCTTTCTTTCTTTCCTTCCTTCTTTCCTTCTTTCTTTCTTTCTTTCTTTCTTTCTTTCTTTCTTTCTTTCTTTCTTTCTTTCTTTCTTTCTTTCTTTCCTTCTTTCTTTCCTTCCTTTCCTTCCTTCCTTCCTTCCTTCCTTCCTTCCTTCCTTCCTTCCTTCCTTCCTTCCTTCTTCCTTCCTTCCTTCCTTCCTTCCTTCTTTCTTTCTTTCTTTCTTTCTTTCTTTCTTTCTTTCTTTCTTTCTTTCTTTCTGTTTCTGGAAAGGACTGATGGGTTTACCCAAATGTGACCTTAAGCCTCATGTCCCTCCACTCAGAAAATCAACCAGCTCTATATTCAGAGGTGTATTATGACTTGCCTGATAGGAAACATCCTAGGATTTTTACAGATTTCTTCCTGAAGACTTGATTTTTCCACTGCAAGCCCTTTCTATTCAACAACTTACCCCTCTCATTTGTACTCAGTTTTGTTATTTTCCAACCCAACTTTTCTCCCCATTCCTGTTTACAACTTCATAATATTCAGTTCTTCTACTTTATAATTCTCTAAAAAATAATTCAGTAGATTCTTCTAGGGGAAAGGCACTACACAAATAAAATAACTAAGAAAGAAGATAAATAAAATAGGAGAAGTATGGTCCAAGTATACAAGATCATGAAATCTTAGCAACTTGGAGGAGCAGACCTCTTACTTCTTACTCCACCCCCTCAGCAGAGGACTTCACCTCTTGTTTTACTGAGAAATTAGGTGCCATATGTCTTGAGTTTCCTCTTTTCCCCCAGTCTACAACTCAAAACCTTTCTTCATCCTTCATTTAATTATATTCTGCTCCAGTTTTTGGTGAAAAGGTGGACTTTCTAGCCAAGGCTAATCCCTCCACTTGTGCTATTAATCCCATCCTCTCCCACTTCCTCTGAGAGTTTGCCCTCTTCCATCATTTGCTTTTTCTAATATTCATTCTCATCTTATTTACTGGATTCTTCTCAACTGCCTTCAAAAATGCCCAGGTTTTCTCTATTGAAAATAGATCCTACATTTGAACCTTGCACTTCATCAAGATATGTAATTACATCTCTTCTCTCTTTCATAGCTAAACTCCTAGAAAAGGTTGTTAGACTTGTTGCCTTCACTCCAGTACCTCCCTTTCTAGCCACTTAACCCCTTCCAATCTAGTTTCTTAGCCCATCACTCAACTGAAACGGCTCTCTGCAAGATTACCAGTAAAGTTACACGTTACTGGTAACCTCGAAGAGAATGAAATCCAGTGTTTTTATCTCAGTCTTGCTCTTGAGCTCCTCCTTGTTCTCTTTGAAGCTTCCTCCTCTTCTGAATATTCTCTAGTCCCTTGGCTTCCATGATCCTATTCTCTTTTAGTTCTTGTCCAACATGTTTGACCTTTCATTCTCACTAACTTTTTCTAGATCACGGTTCTTCTCTTGACCACTAAGTCTGGGCATCCCTAAAAGGCTCTCCATCCTACTTCACCTCCCATCCCTTCTCATCCCCTCTCCTCTCCTTTCCTTTCCTTTCCTCTTCTCTCCTCTCCCCTTCCTTCTTTCTTCTCCTTCTTCTCTTCTCCCCTCCTCTACTCTCCCCTTCCTTTCCCCCCTCTCCTCTCCTTTCTCCATCCTCTCTCTTTCCCACCTCCCCTTCTATCCCTCCTCTCCTCTCCTCTTTCTTTCCTATATTCTTTCCTTTGGTGTTGTCATAGCTTACTATGTGTTCAATTATCATCTCTTCAGTTGGCTCTCAAATCTAGCTATATGGAGCCCTAATCTCTGGACTGAACTCCTATACTATGTTACCAACTGCCTACTGGATATTTCTACCAAATGTCCCATAGGCATTTCAATTTAACATGCCTAAAATATAACTCATTATATTTTCAACTAAATCCATCCTACTTCCAAACTTCCCCATTGCTTTTGATGGCACCACCCCCATTTCATTCACCCTTCCATTTTAGGAAATCTGGACATGCTGCAAAGGCCCCTCAAGGGCACCTACATGTTAGAACTGAGCATGCCCAGAGAAGCCTGGGTTACATATGAAAATAGTTTTGATATCAGGGACACCCTAAAACCATCTTTGTGGATCACCCTCATTCATACAACCTTGAAGTCCTTTGTGACTCCTTTTTCCTTCAGCTTCTAAATCCAGTAAGTTGCCATGTCTTGGCTATCCTACCTTTACAATATCTCTAGCATCCACCCCTTCTTTCTACTCACATAACCTTTCCTTACTTCTCCCCAAAGTACCGTGATATTCTCCTAATTGGTCTCCCTGCTTTCAGTTGCTTCTTTATTCCAGCCATCCTTTACACAGCTACTAAAATAAGCTTCCTAAAGTATAGGTCTAACCATGTCACTTTCCTGCTCAGTGGATCCCTATTGCTTCTAGGATAACATTAAAACTCTTCTGTTTGGCATTTAAAGCCCTTCACAATCTGGCTCCATCTTCTCTTTCCAGGGTTATTGGATATTACTTTCCTTCACATCCTCTATGTTCCAGCCAAACTGGCCTGCCAGCTGTTCCCCATATGTGACATTCCATCTTCTACCCCTGTACCTTGGTGGAAGTTATTCTGTATGTGGAATGACTTCCTTCTCACCTCGCTCTCATACACTACCTTCAATGCACAAGTGGTTTCCATGCTACTTCTGGGGCATAAAGCATGTACATAAACACAAATTCAATACAAACTAATTTTGAGACAGAAAGTGTACCATTTCCTAGGGAAATCTAGGCAAGTTTTATGTAGGAGATGGTGGCTGAGCTGTGCATTGTAGAAACTGCTTGAGGGCAGGAAGTATTTTTTTTTGTGTTCCCTTTGCACAAAATAGGTGCTTAATAAATGTTTACTGTTATTGCTGTTGATCGTATCCCCAGCTTTTAAAGGCAGAGTTACTGAATCACTATACTGGAGGTGGAGCAGGAGATTATGGGGGTATGACCTGGAACATAGCATTTAGAGTTAGAAGGGACCATTTAGTGATTCCAATTCCTTCATTTTATGAATGAAAAACATAAAGGGCAGAGAGGGGGAGTGACTTGCCCAAAGAGAAATAGATAATAGGTAATATAGAGCTGGGATCTCAAGATGCAAACTCACAAGGGTCTTCATAGGAAACCATAATTGAGACCCAGAAAGGTTAAATGATTTGCCCTAGAACACACAAGTGACAGATCCAGAATTTAAACCTAGGTCCTCTGAATCCAGATGCAATGTTTTGTTTTGTTTTTCTTCTATATGATCACGATATAGTATAATATAGTGGAAATAGCACTAGATTCTATTGCTGGTTTGGCCACAGAGCTCAGAGAATCTTAGGGTTGGAGGAGGCCTTAGCCATCATACAGTCCCATGGTGTTCAAAGTATGGCCTACAGAGATTCTTTCAGGATGTCCATGAGGTCAGATGTATTTTTTTGGATGTAACCTTGGCTTCTCTGGGAGTGTCCAGTTCCAACAGGGAGCTACCCTTGAGGGACCTTTGGAGCATGTCCAGATTGCTTAAAATGGAAGCCTCTTTCATCCCCTACTACACAGTAGCAAGTTATACTTTGGACAAACTGGGCCTGCTCCAAAAGCCCTCTTAAGGGCACCTCCATGTTAGAAGGCTGGGTTATACATAATAATACTGATGTTTGGATTTCTAGTTCGGTAAATATCAACAGCTAGAAACCACATAAACACAAGCTCTTTGTGGGAGGAAGGGGTTCTCAGTTTTTAAGAGTGCAAAGGGGTCTTGAGACCAAAAAGTTTGAGGCCTGCTGATATAGTTCAACCGTCTTCTTTTGTAGAAGGGGAAACTGAAGTTGATAGATGGATCACACAGCAAGA